TTCTCTTTTTTTTTTTTTTTTGGCAGACCTAGTTATAGTTTAAGCAGCAAGAATACACAATTTCCTCTTGCTGCTGTGTCCTTAACTTCAAGGTCAGCAATAAGTCCACTAAATGAGTTCAGTGGCAATGTTTTAATGTTTTAATCATAGAATCGTTATGGCTGGAAAAGGCCTTTAAGTTCATCAAGTCTAACCGTTATCTAACCCTACCGGGCCCACTTCTAAACCATGTCCCTGAGCACCATATCTAGACAACTTTTAAATACATCCAATGATGGTGATTCAACCACTTCCCTGGGCAGCCTGTTCCTGTCTTTGATAACCCTTTCAGTGTAGAAGTTTTTCCTAATATTCAACCTAAACCTCCCCTGGTGCAACTTGACACCATTTCCTCTTGTCCTCTCGGTTTTAACTTGTGAAAAGAGACCAACCCCCACCTCGCTACAGCCTCTTTTCAGGTAGTTGTAGAGAGCAATAAGGTCTCTCCTCAGCCTCTTTTTCTTCAGACTAAACAACCCCAAGTCCCTCAGCTGCTCCTCATAAGACTTATTTGCAAGACCCTTCACCAGCTTTGTTGCCCTTCTCTGGACCCTCTCCAGCACCTCAATGTCCTTCTTATACTGCGACACCCAACACTGAACACAGTACTCAAGGTGTGACCTCACCAGTGCTGAGTACAGTGGGACAATCACTTCTCCAGCCCTGCTGGCTGCACTATTCCTGATGCAGGCCAGGATGCCGTCTTTTGATTACCATCTTTTAGTAGAGATATAACCGTAACAAGGCCTGCCTCTGTGGAGGGCATTAGATTGTGAATCAGGATATTTTGATATATTTTTGTATCTGCTGCTGACCTTGTACATGTGCCTCTTGGCAAGTCATCTTATCTAACTGCACTCCTGCTCTTCCTCCAGCTTCATGCCAACCAATTTATTAGGATAGGGACTGCTTCTCATATGAATGTACTATACCAAGCAGAACCGATCTTCATTTTAGTTACGGTCTGTAGAAGTTACTGAAATACTAAATGGCCTCCAGAGGACACAATGAAAGGACTCCAATTTCGGAAAACTGACTGCCAAAAGAAATTGCTTTGTGCAAAAATTTAAGTCAAGTCTCTAGTAATACATGTAGGATAGCTACAATTCAAGACAATTCCTAAACCTTAATGATTCTAGATACAGCAAGCAGGACAAGAAGTTGCTTTATGAAATTTTATAACTAGGCAATAACCCACCGTGAACCTTTGCTCACTACAAGACAACAACACAACTCACTGATGCTGAGTACAGTATCTCAAAAAGTACAGTACTTTCTCTTCCTGCTATGGGTTTGGATACACTAAAGCTAAGCCTGCTTTTGGCTGTACTTAATTTAGTTCAGGAATAATAGGATCTGTGCTTTCCACACAGATTTTTCTGCTCTAATCCTTTTGCTATGATTGCAGCTGAACTTTCCATTTGCTCGGGTTGCTAAATACTGTACAAAAGCTTTCAAAATACCTCATGGGTGACCTTATGCCACTGCTCATTTTAATCCCTGACATGTATTCAATTTTCCACTGACAACTAAAGGACAAATAAAACTCCTTTTCTCTCCACTCCTGTTTTGCTACCAGTTACAGAGGAGTTAATATGTCTCACAGTAAAACCAAACATGGATTCTTCTTTTATGCAAGTACAAGATCTTTGCTCAGAGACACAATTTCATATCAATGTAACAAATATGCATTTAAGTTCAGCCCCAACCTTAAGTATCCAAAGACTTAGCATCTATCACTACAAAGACAGCCTGATTAGAAAACAGCAGTGCAAAATGCTCTCTCGGTGCCTCACTGCAAGGAACACGTTGAACTTTGATAACTGTACTGGCTGCTTCTTGGCAAATCTAGCATAAACCTTGAGCTAGCCTGCAGGCAAATTTAGTCTATTAAAGATCATTCCATTTTAATCATATAGCATTTGCAAGATATTAATACAGGATGTCAGGAATATGGGAATCAGATTTAGTGATGTGGCTGAATGCTACAGACAACTGCAGAGAGTTCAGATGGGAGCAGTAAAAATTATGAAAAGCTTTAGTGTGAGTTCAGGAAAAATGGAAGGACTTAATGTCCAATTTAGAAGAAAGCGCGTATTACTGCTTATTTCTGATCAAGCAACATTTTAACGCTATAAAAGCAATAATACAGTTGACACAAGCCTCAGGCTTAACACAGATGAGAAGCCAGAGAGATGCAGCAAGATCTACTACTGAGTAAAGAATTACAATTTGCAGCAATTTCTCTGACCAGATCAATACCTTAGATAAACTCTCATCATTTACAGTCTTACATTTGTGAAAGCAGAATGTAAGCTTATCCATAGCTTTCAAGAATTACATCCACAGACACTGCAAACTACCAACAAATGGGAAAACAGGGAGGGAAACGTACAATTAATTTTGATGCATCATAAACACACAACTGTCAAAAGGTGTTTGATTCCCATATTAAATTCCATGGAATTTAAAGGATACGTGAGGTTCTTCACGCATTTTATTAAACTGTGGTATTCAATGAATATTTTGTGGGGTCTGGAGTCTGAATATGGGCAGTGTTTCCTGCCCTCCTCTTTCGCCTTACAATACTGAATGCTGCATTATAACTATGCCATGGTTTTTGGAGGTTAACACTTATTATCTGTGGTGTTTCTTTTCCCCCCAACCCTAAAAATCAAGATATCCTTTCAGACCAAATGTAGCTATTATACAATACCTGCGTGGTGTGCAGTCCTCATACGGAGGGACAATGACGACCTTCACTGTTACTGATGTTCTCAGAAGATCAATCATTTGCTCATGACTCAGAGTGGCTACAGCCACCTTGCAGATTTCCACTAGCCGGCTGCCTTGTCGCAGTCCTGCCTGCCACGCGTAGCCGTAGGGCTCAACATCTGCCACAATGCCTTCATAGTTTACGTGGAAACCAAGCTGACCCAGACCATTCCTACGCAGGGTCATCTCCACTGTTTCACAGCCCTTAGTCACAAGCTGTGAATTGAAACGAAGACAGAACTTAATGCATGGAGAAACCTTCAGCGCTAATAGAGGTTTAAGGGCTCCATTTTTGTACAATCAACCAACTCCCAAGACAATGGTGGGACACGATAAAGGAATATATATCACAGTCCTGGGTATATAGCCAGCTGAAATGGATCTTGTCACTCAAACTAGTATTTTCAGTACTGTCTGATTATCCAAGTTCTGCCTTGACATTTTTACTGAAACCACAGGAATTTTAGAAAATACATGGCAGCACACAACAGAAAAAACACACGGTGTTACACAAGCATCTCTACTTTATCTTTTATGCTTTAGTAACCGAACAACCATTCTACATTTCTAGCTGTTTCAGTAAACTGTAAGATTACTTTCAGTCAGAATCTGGTGGCACGCAGCTACTAAGCACAGTAAACTGGGGTCTATGCCAACTCTTCTATGTACCATGAGCATGAATACCATCCAGAGCAATTTAACAGGGCCTGGTTTTCCTTTTTTCCTGGTCATTATACAACCACAGCTGTGAAATTACAGGAGAGACAGTGAAACATAAACCCAGTTATGCAAGAATGTGTTAACACATGCATTCAGAGAATATCTGAAGGTTGCAATAGGGATTGGAACTGCACCCTGCTGGCAACATAATAAGTCAGTCTCAAAGATATTACAGCTTCGTTTGAAACAAGATACAACAAGCCTATAAAACAGATAAAGAGAAGGAAAACAAGGAAAAAGAAATAAGGCGACACTTCTGTATTTATTGTGTGGGAGCAATTTAAGCATCTGAAGGCCCTTGCTTGCCTCTTTTTTTTTTTTAAAATATATCGAGACATTTTTCACACACACACAACCAGCTGAGGTTGGCTGATATCTGATAAAAGTGAAAACAATATTGGATTTTAAGAAATAAAAGCAGGAAAGTCCTTATAGATTTCCTGATAAACAATCAGAACAGTTTTAGGGATCCCAAGCATTACTTAAATTGAAGCCTTACTTGGCGGCGAGGCGAGAGGAGAAAGCAAAGAAGGGGAACCAAACAAGAGAACACATTCTAACCTCCAGCCTTTTGACGATCTCTTTGATATCATCAATGTTGCTGATGAAGCTCTCCAAAGAAACACATTCACCTCTCTCATAGAATATTTTGATATTTGTGTCCGTTGAAGTCCACCCTATCACATCTCGACAGGAGCAATTGAACACCACGCTTTTCGTGTCCTGTTCAATGAGGACTACAAACTCATTAGAGATGCCTAGCAGACAGTCTATTTCCATACCCTTGCTGTAGTCTTTTGCATGGACACTCCATACAATAGCACCAGAACTATAGATCTCTGCTCCTGGATAAGGCTTGGACTTTTCTTTCTTTTTTGAAGCAAGCGAGATGAAGGGGAACTTGCCAGAAGGGTCAATAGGTGTGTTGGTGACATTCTTCTCTGCCAAGTCTTTCAAGTACTCTTGACGGGTCCTGGTGGCCATCGCACGGAACTTTTCTGATTTATGAGCAGCATTCTCTGCATTAATGACTTTGGCTAGTAAGAAGTCCCTGAACACGTTTGATTTAGGAAACGTGACACCTTTTGGAATAGGTGGTCCAAAGGATGGTACATCTCTGGATCTTGTCACAGCAACACTAAAAGAAATAAAAGAATAAGGAAGAAGCAGAGTGTTTCACTGTATGCAAATTCAGCAGTTTCTGAATACAGAAAATACATTTCCTTTTCTCCTTAAGCCCTCAATTTTTCTCTTCTTTTCTCAGCACTATGCCTATGTTTACATTTTAATCTTGCCAGTGTGGAGATTATGTCCCCCTTACCATATAAACAGAAAGCCACTTACTTTTGCGTTATCCTCAGTACCACGGCTTAGAGAGCTTCAAGTGCAAAATCATGCTCTTTTGATAAACTAATCCCTCATGTATGGGAGTTCTGAATTTTGTTGGTTTTTTACTATAAACAGAAAATTTCTAACACACACTACTATGAAGGTTAGCTTATCTGAAAGCAACACGAAGTGTAAGATTAATACTAGAAATATAGATAAAATGGACACATTAAAAAGACAAAGACAAAGTCACCTTGGCCAGTTTCACTGTGAGAATCATCTTCTGGTGACTGAATGCATATATACACCACACTACTGATTATGGTTTAAATTTCTGGACTGAAAATTGCACTGCCTGATATTGCATGCTAGTGATAGAAGCAGACTCCCAAAATACTCAAAATAAGAAATTTCTTAGACGTTTGGGGACATGTTAATAGATGCTTTCTTTTTCAGCTCTTCTTTTTACATTCCGTGCAAAGTGAGGGACTGACAGTAAGATTGCCTTAGGCAATGCCAACAAGGTTAGCTATTCTCCCTCGTCAATTCTTTTTTGATACAGAGTGGATGAGAGTTGTTTGGCATCACTGAAGATTTGCCAGTCCCGTCCAGTATCATTCACTTAGCAGTCTGTCCTAAGAAGAGACAGACCACTGTACTTCATGTACTTCAACAGTTTTGTGACAAGAAATGCTCTAACAGTCTGAAGATTATTTACTACATATCTTACTAATTCTGAAAAAGCATTAACTAATTTTGGCCAAAATACCACGATAATGGAGTTTCATAAAGAAAAATAGGATGGAGCCCGAACACACTAGAAATGTATATGGTGCTTCATTTGGAAGACTAGCTGGTATTATTTTCACACTTTGTTCTAACTTATCTGAATGCTTAAACATAGTCAGAGAAATGCCCTCAAAAAAAAAAATCAATAACTGAGATTGCAGAAATAATAGTAAAGCTTTTGGGGGGGCACATAGGAACACAAAAAATAAAAATTAAGTCACCCACTCTTTAACCTATCTTCTGGTTTTGGGTGGTGGGGTGTTTTATTTGCTGGTTTGGTTTTTCTAATTATATTTTCTGGCAACTGATATTTAAAGATGTCACTGACTGTCGTATTTCCTTCAAATGTATGCCAATATATCAAAAAGTATATGACAGGGGGTGCTCATGATGCAACCATCTGACTCTTGATCACTGTCAGTGGTCCCAAAGGGTCTGTTAAGACACAGAAGCCTAAGTGTTAAACACAATTACTGGATGTAATGGAAAACTATGAGACATTTTGTTTGATTAGTTTTTCAATATCATGAATCACAGGCATAAGAATTTAATCTTTAACATATGCTAGAGAAGTTTTAAAAAGTGAATGATGCCGACAGAGAAGCCAGACTTTCGCAATATTGTTTATCTTAGTTGGGAGGGAGAATCACTGGCCAAGACAGTGCTTGATTTTTATTCCTTTTATGTAGTTTTTAATATAAATTCCACTACATTTTTATGCTATATGGCTTCCTGTTTTGTCTAGAATTATGAAAACTGTTGAAACTGTTCCAGTTAATTCAGTGAAAAAGAGGTCAAACTTACTTTGAAAAGTTTCCTAGAAAAACTTTTCATAATGGAATTCTATAAATTTAAATCAAGTGTTTGCACTGCGAGGACAGAAAAAGGAAAGGATTTTAATCTTAAAGACAGTACACAGAACATACAACGTTCTGGTGGTCTCCTGTATCAAAATGCACACTGACACTCTCAAATTTTTTTTTCCCTACCTGCTCATCCTCCTCTTAAAATTTAAGACTGTAGCATCATTAAAGCTGAAATTCTCTAACTTTATTCACTAATACTAACCAGCTCTTGTAGCTGTGAAGACTTGAAAAACGAAAGCAATTGAGCAGTCTGAAGGTCAGAAATAGAACCCTGAGATATTTAAATTTCTTACAGTATAGCAAAACCAAATCTTTCCCATGCCTTTTAAAAGGAAGAAATTGAAAATATGCAGTCATATTATTTAAAATAATGACCAAAAGCACTTTCTCTGTGTTTGCAATACCCAATTCAAATGGAAAATGCATCTGTAGCCCTTGTATATGTATTTCCTACTTTCCCTTTAACTTCAAAATCAGTTTCTGTATAGAATAAGAGCTGAAACATGTCTAGAAGTTTAAGAACAAGCTATGTCTACATAGATTATGGAGCAGTGGAATTTGTCAATAAGCTGCCTTAAAATGACTATCAACATGAACACTCCTGCTCCAGGAGAGTTTAATACACATACAAAGTTCAGCGTGAGTTCCAGAAATGCTGTGTGAGCTTTACCAAAAACTTATGGGGAGGGAAAAGCCTTTAAACCTTACTATACTTACTTGAAAAACACGAATACACCATCTCAGACACTGCAGTCTTAGCTCTTCCTCTAAATAAGCACTTGACTGAATGAATCACTTCGGTGAAGATTTGTATTTGAGTAAAGACAAGTTAATTCTAAGGCTACCTCATTTTCCAGATAACTACTCTAAATCCATTACTCTGACACTTCATATTTTAAATAAAGAAGCTTTAGAAAAGTTTGCTGAGATAAGTCAACATTTAAAAATAAAAATACATTACGAGTACATGACATAACAAAGGTTAAAAATTTTATTAATCGTAAAAAGAAGTGTAACTCAAAAACATTATTTCTATGTGCTTTCAATATGGTTAAAAATAGGCTAAATACGAATCTCATCTTGAAATTCTTTATAGTTACTATCAATTACCATTTTCTACTTTAATTATATTGACTTCAAGGTCTCACTGAGATTTTTTTTTTGCTGCGTAATGCTCTGGAATTTCTTTGTTGGACTGAAATGAGATATGAAATTAGGATATTTCAGAGAGCTTAGTTTCTTTCTGAAAGGTTAGTCATACCTTTTCACTGTCTTAATTTCAAAAACAGAACATGCCCAAATTATCCAAACAAAAAGTGAATTCATAAGAATCAAAGTAGAAATATTCTTCTAGCATACTCTTAATGAAGAGAATAAAAAGGAAATGAGAATGGAATTTGAAAATCATTCCCAAATGCTTGATTTTTGTATGTATGTATATGTACGTGCATGCATATTTGTGTGTACACACATACTGACAGCAATTATTTCCTCATTGGGTGTGTTTCTTTTACATACTCATATGTGTTTATTTACTTCTTAAAAAGCGTTCTAAATTCACATGACCCAAAATCTCCTAAACCCCTATCTTTCATTACATTTCCCTACTGAGAATTTAAAAGGGGAATGACACCTCCCTTTTCCCTCAAATTCTGTGTTTTCAGTGAAACTAGCGATAGTTACCTGTAACAAACGCTGTCAGTACAGGGACCATGCACTCTTACAATGACAAAGACATGCTGGAAGTGAGAGCGAATGTTCTTTGGGCTGAATGGTTGTGCTCCAGGCTCCTGGAAAACTATTGTCACAATATCATTTCCAATATGTCGTTTTCTCAGAAGCTTGAATGAAAAAAAGATGCATAGGTTAAAACACAGTCTTTTCACAATTTTATTTATTTCTCATTATTATAAGTTACTATTGTTCAATTTTTTTATTCCAAATAATACTTCAAGCTGAAAACCGCAACAGTATTTTTATTTTCATAAAAAATTCATTTCTACATGTAACATACAGGAAGATCTTGTTGGGGAAAATTTTAAGCTAAACAAAGAGGACAAACAACAACAAAACCTGTTAATATCAGAGTAATCAGTGATACATGGAAGCTGGAAAACATTCCCCTATTCACACATTTTTACAAGCCAGAAGTAGGTTCTACTTCAAATTGAAAATAGTTGTCATTGTCCCTAAGACACACTATGATAATTTTCCGATAGGCTTCTTTCACTAAATCCAAGATTACAGTAAAAGAGAAAGGTAAACTACAAAACAGTATATCATTTAGTGTACAAAAGCAAAGTAAAAAAATGCTGTTATCTTTTATTGTTAAAGGAAATGTCTATCTTATTTGAAGAAACACAAAATAACATTGTTTCTAGAGTAAAATGCATACACATCATACAGAACAAGATGGCTTAGTATTTAACAAGGCCAGGTAGTTTAGAGTAACAAAGCAGGTCAGCCTACATAGCTCTTCAGTATAATAAAAAAATTTGAGAACAAAAACAAAAAAGGATTTTGTCTTGTGTCTTCTTGTCTAGCGTGCTGGACTACCCCCTCATCACCTCTGATTCTGTGCATATTTCAAGTTGCTGAATGCAATCCTTAAAGTGCAACGGACTTTGCTGCAGAAGGTTGAAAATCATGTCAAATATACTATGGTCCTTTTGACATAAGATACAAACTCTTACTTATGTAACACAGATGTGCTACTGACATTATTGTATAATATTTACACCAAAGTTTCAGTAAGTAATGTGTAAAAAATAGAAGACAGTCCTATGGGGAAAAATCTACCTATGATGTACCTACAATGATCTGATTTGCTCATCTTCCTGACACAGAGATGACCAGTTTCACATTTGATACTTCTGATTTTAAAAGTGTTTTCTTTGCTAGTAACAAATAAAAATTGTCCTAAATTTTCAATAGTTCAGCTACTTTTGAGTTAGAGGAAAAATTAATTGGTCCATCTTACCTGTTGCTTGTTGTTTGGAGTATATGGCAACATAGTAGAAACGTGGAACATGATTTCATAGTCCTTGTATGTTGTATATAGAGAGTGAGTACCCGTTGAATCAGCTTCAGTTAAAGAAAAAAGAGAAAATAAAGACATTGTTTTAAAAACGTTTTAAAACAAAGTTTCATTATTATCAAAGAAAATCATCAGGCAAGATAAGAATTCCTACTCATCCTTGATCCTAGCTGAAATGTCAGCAAGTAAAAACTTACCCAGAGTTTATTCACCTGCCAAAGCAAATGACACGTAGATGGCACATATAACTTTGAGTACTTTTCCCAATGAAGAACTCGTTAGGAATATGGAATTTATACCAGAAAACCCGGAAGAAAGCCTATTTAAGCATGAAAAGTGATAACAAAGTCTGAAATAACTTTCAGACACCACCCAGTATCTCAGGCTAATTGGAATGAAACTGAACTATAAGGAATGTGAAAAGGACTTCAGAAAGGAAGGTAGACAGACACTGCAAATGAACACCATGCGTAATTAAATATCAATGGACATATAACCCACAAGATATGAAAGAACAGAATAGGTTCTTTTGAACATAAATATCAGGACTCTAAATTAACTGTAATGAAGTCAGATAAAACCTTCAGTAAAACAGGTGCTTTATGGATAGGTGCAGTCAAAAACTCAAATAGTATGCTAGCATGCTTACAGCTGATGATGGAAAAAGCCCACAACAATGACATTATGATGCTGGTATATTAATCAAAGGTACTCTCACCTGTTTTGGGTTCTGGCCACCCTATTTTAAAAGTTATAGAAGAAAGAGAAGGGATCCAGAAACAGGCCACAAAAATAATTATACGTGGATGGAGAGACTTCCATGTGGAGAGAAAATGATAAAAACTAGGATTATGACGTTTAGAAAGAAAAAAAGAAGAGGGGATATTATTAAAGTTTACAAAGTGTTGGTTGCAGACAACACTTGACTACAGACAAATAGGGAACTTCTGTTTTTACTTTTTCTTTCTCTCTCTCAAAAAAGAGACCTTGAAAAATGTTCATTAATTTAAGTAGTAACACATTTAAAGCTGAAATAGTGAATATATTCTATTAAATATAACTGCTGTCCCCAGTGCAAAACGCCTGTTTTCAAATGGAATTTTAAAAATAACTAGATTTATATATGGAAAAAAGCATCCTGGTTATTTGAGTTATATAAACATGCCACTATATTATATAATCCAGCTATTTATAGCAATGTATTTTAAAAAGCTGTTAAATACTAACCTTAGCATTTCGTTATTAGCAGAGAGATCATGTTATTAAGGAGATAATAGCTCAGAAATTCATGAGGCATTTACAATAACATAAATATACAGTTTATTTACCTAGATTTTGGATATAAGCTTTGCCAAGAAGTTTTCATTTACTGTCAAATTCAGAATAATTAAATTGAGGTAGCTTTGCTGTAAATGAAAAACCACAACATCATCCATAAAATGAAATGGAAAGTTTCCTACATTATAGCTGAACAGAGATTTTGGATTTCCAAATCATCTATATAGAATAAAATGGGAATACGGAAAAAAAAAAAGATTCCTCGAATCTTATAATAAAAAAAATAATAAAATCAGTTAATGTTTCAAGGAGGTTGGGCTCTCTTTTCCAGCACTCAACATTGCCATTATGAAAAACTAGCTAGCTGCTAAATATTTTCCTTTTAATGCTAATTACAACAGCGTGACAGCTGAAAGGGAATCATTTCATCTTGCACTCTACCGTCTGCCTGATCATTACAATGCAGGCTGGAGAAGGCAGATGCACCTGAGAGTCACCTAAACATCAACCTAACTCCTAACTGGCTTTTTTGTCTAATTAAATATGCTAATTTGTACACTGTCTTTCATAAATAGAGCATACAAAAATATTACAAAGAACTGGAAAGGGGGAGCAGGTGCAAAAAGAAAGGGAAGCGGGTAAGACGACAGACAGGGGAAGGAAGGCCCCAAAAGAAGGGAAGGGGCCCAAAAGGAGTTGGGGGGAAAGAAGAAAAGAATAAAGCAATTCTGACAAATAATATGCTAGAACAACACCTATGCATTTAAGCCAAACTTTCAACTTTTCTGGATGGAGTTCAGTCAGAAAAGGGTGGGGTTTTTTGGTTTTGTTTTTTTTTTTTCCCCCCCTCAGAACAGCACTGGTTCTGCAAACTAGGGAATAGGGCTACAATCCAAATTTAATGACTCCATTTATTTCCAAGTACTTCACAGCTTAAATCCCTGTTAGTCAAATTCAACTCCAAGCAGAAGTCCATATTCGCTACAGACTGTCCATCTTTCTCACCATTCAGATTTCTTTGTTCTTACAAGTCCAGAATACTTTTTCTCAAGTACAACACAATAATTACAGGTGTTTGCTTTAAATCAAATCACTGCCATTGCAGTAAAATCCAAGACTGTGCACTGGAACAGCATCCACCATTTCAAGGTCAGAACTGTTAGCCAGCACTGCACTCTGCTTTGATTTCCTTATATTTAATGGAGGCCCGAGGGACCTACAAATTCATTAGCGCCTTTTTACACTGAAGATACCCCCTCCTGCCATCAGTTCCATACCTACTGATGCTGCTTTCTCAATCTTGTCCCATTACTGGACTTGGTTACTTAGCTGAGGACTTATCTGATCTTCTTTTCCTTCCATCATTATTCACCTTTAAAAATCTACCTTATTCTTCTGTCCTTCCAATGTTTCTCAGCTGTCTTCATAAGGGCTGTCTTAACAGACTCCCATTTAAGTGTTTTTTTCCAACACCAACAGCACTCAAAACTGTGAGTGACACCAACAGCATAGTGCTGATAAATTCACCTCACTGAAGCCACAGGACTTCACTGTCAGCCTGCTTCTACAGCAGCTTTTAAAGCCTCTACACTAGAAAACTGCATAAAAACCAGTACGAACAGAAAATCTCAGTGTTCCAAAGGAAAACACGTTGCCAGGAATTGTAGGAAACCAAAAAATAAACAATACTGATAAAACAGAAGGACCAGCCATTGCTACAAACTGCAGCAATGCTCACAATTAAAGGCACAAGAACAAGAAGTTTCAGAGCTTAATGTTGTTCCCATCTACCTTGGCTGTTAAAAAGCCCTGTCTTAATTCTAGGTTCTCCTAGTTACAGCTGCAAATTCAGTACCTGCCAAACGTGCCCTCCTTTCTGTTATACACAGGGATTACATCAAGCACTCATGTTCAACTTCTGTAATATCCAAGTCATTTTCAGACACTATTTCTGAGGACAGAATCCTTTATTTCTGCTTCTTAAGCAATCTTAGGAACCTCTGACCTTCTTTGGCTGTTAGTCTCCCAGTGAATGTCTGAGACCCAACAGTAAGTCTATTCTTCCACATGGTTGAAAAGGTGTTTAATAGTACAAGTTCAGAAGATATTTGATCTGTATTATTTCATTAGAAACACTGGGGTTTATTGACAACCCCTGAATGAAATGTCAATTTCAAGTCCATTCATTCCCTAGATTTTTAATCTATATAATCTCTTCAGTGCTGCTTTTATATTCTTCTCATGTCTTAACCAAATGTCATGCAATAAAAACATCTAATACAGAAACCTACCATTATTAGCTAAGTTTATAATTTCACCAAATAGATAATTTATAAACTCCTACCACTCACATTAACCAATCTTTTTCATTTCCTGCACCAACCACTCCGCTGGACACACACGCCAGGTTACCAGGCCTAGCATTACCCAGCTGATCCCATTTACCAATTTAAAATATTGAGAAATAGGACTAAGTGCGGGGGAGGGAAATAAAGCATGCATTACAACTAGCAAATGACAGAAAATGACAGAAGTTATAATTTGAAAGATTACTGTGATGTTTATTACTTTAAAGTGATGCCCATAAACTTCCTAGCAACCGTGGGATAGATGACATTTTCAAGCTCTATTTCCTATCCAAAGTCTGCAGGCTGCCAGGAGATAGACTGCTTCCCCTCTGGTAATTCTAGAAACATACAAACAAACTTTAAAAGTAGCAGCTCTTTTCCACAGTGGCACTGGCAAAGATCCAAAGCAAAAGCCCTCAAAGGATCCAATATACTTAAATAGGCTTTCAGTTAATAGGATGCATGAGATTCCTCCTTTTAAAAACTGGCTCTGCTACGGATACTAACCAACTAGGCCCCTAACTCTAAAAATTTCTAAGAACAACAACTGCTCTGAAACTGCCTTTTGCTAGAACAACTTTACTTTTCTAACTTTGCATAAATTAAAAACATCTTTAAAAAATTTCCAGAGTATATATACAAATCAGCTTTCCTCCACACTGAGAAAACCTTTCATCGTGTCTTACATCATGCATCTGCTTTCCATAGGTTGCAAAATATTGTCAAAGGTAAAGGAACAAGTGAAGTAGCCTACATAGCTCTGACCTTTTTTGCAAGTTAATGAACAGACATTTGTTTTTAAGAGCATCTTTGCCATCAACTGTGCTGACATTAAACAGATTTTATGCAGGAAAATTTCCTGAGTAATGAGGCCACAAGAACTATTTCATGACAGTGACCTCTAGCAACAGAAGAGCAGAGGTGGAAAAGGGAGAAACCCGTTTCCTAGGTGCAGACCCAGCTGTTTCAACAAAATCCTACAACCCTAAGTCATGGTAAACCCCACAACCTCTTCCTTTGCAGGCCTTTCTGTGTTAGGGCTGAGGCAGAAAAGACTGATGGATTAATCTGGGTAGCTACTGAAAATGTATTGCCTGTCTGTATTCTGCTGTTCACATATTCCCCACACCTGAATGCAGCTCCTGCAACCAACTTCAGCGTCTTCAGCATTTTGCCTACCACAGGGTAGTTTGTTGGTGGTTTTTTTTGCCATTTCCTGTGCAGAATATGCAATAAGGGTTTCCGAATGTAGCTATTCAGAGCGCTTAGCGTTGTGCCCCCAAAACATCACATTCTCTTCCACTACTTTAAGTCTGTGTTTTGCATACTGGCAGAAAGGAAAACAACACCATCAAGATAAATTACAAAAGTTTGTTGCCATTGTTCAAATTTGCTGCTGTCTAAACCTGCTTGTTAAGAACTCATGTATGCTGTGTAGTCCCGTGTTTCCTCAGTGAGCCTGCAGACATCATACATTTCATCAGACATTTCAGACAGCCTAGAGTTCCTAAGCAGTTCTAGCTGATGAGGTCCCATACATGTGAGATTGTAAACCTTGACTGAAAAAAAATGTAGGAAACCCTTCATGAAAGCAGCAGTTTCCACTCAGAGCATCCCCCGTCCTCTCTGATCAGAGTGAAGCGTTCATGTAAAGCCTCTTGATTTTTGTATTTTCAGATATAGTATGGAGCCAGTAGATCTACTGGGCAATGTGAAAAAAGACATGTCAGCACTCAACACGGAGTAGAAAACCTTCATTACTAGAAGACAACTCATAAAACCATGAAAGATTCAGGCAATAAAAGTTTACATACGTGTCCATTCAACAGGTGCTACACTGTAGTACATAAAATCAAAACTTGACAAAATTATTTCCCTGAGTCAGAAGCAACAAGAAGGAACTCAAACATTACCGGAAAATTCTGCTGTACAGAAAATTTCAAAGATGTACTTAAGACACAGTTACAGCTTTCATGGGCATATCTGAGCAGATGAGTCAACTCTTAATCATACAGCATTTACAGGTACTAGAAACCAGTGTGTGTGGACTGACACCAAAAAAAGGGGTTTTTAAAGATGTGTTAAATACCTAAGCCAGAAGAACGGGAAGAGAGGATTCTACTTTAATGACGGAAAGTAACATGGAGGTCACAATACAAAATCAGAAGCTATGAAATAACAAATTGTTTTAATACACATTTGATTTTTGATCTAGCTTATTTTTATAACTGATAAAATAACACTTTGGAGCTGCAGAAAAGGAAACCCCAGCCTGGCAATTATTGTATATTTTCAGTAAAGGCAAGGAAGCATTACAGCAAGAAACTGCCTTGATCTCATCTGGAATCATGTATATAATCCTAGCCACTAAAATAAGAAAGACTGAATTCAAACTTGGATGAGTGCGTATGAAGATTACCAGGTAATGCCGTGGGGGGAGGGAAGCAGAGAAATCCACCCCTCCCATACCAGTAAGAGAAACTTGGCTTAAGGGTAACATCACACAGCACAGAGGAGGCACAACTGCCATGTGCAAATGCACTCAAGGGAGTAACTACAACAGACAGAATATAAGTATTGCAACTAAAAGAAAGCTGGCTCAATGGTAAATGTGTGTGAAATAGGTATTCATTTAGGTTTAAAACCACAGGAAGTTTTATGATCCTCTGAGGAGTGATGATTAGGCTGATCAAGACAGCCCAAGGAGATGGCGATGTGATCCCTTTAAGAATCAAGAACACAAGGTAGAATGGTGGAGCACAAAAGCACAGCAAGTTACTGTATTTGTGATAGGAGACCCATGACAAGACCACAGTTTTTGCTGCCCTGAAGTTGATGAATGCTTTTCAGCTTTTGTGAGTCAACTCCTTATTTAATTTCCTTTGCTGCATGTGGGCAAAATAGCAAAAGATTTCCATAGGAACTGGTTAGTTCCAATACTCAAAGAAAAGGAAGACTGGCCAAAATTTCCCCCTGAGAATTTTTAAATAGATTTGCAAATTGAATACAGAATGTATTAGCTGATAAACAGGTATTTCACAAGCTTGAGTCCAAAAGTAGGGAATTTCTTTTATAGATACTGTCACCCAAGATCATCTTTCCACTGCATTTTTGTTGCAGTATGTTTTACTGTTAAAGCTGATAATATAACTGCCAAAACCAGTTTAATTTCCATAACTCAAAAGAAAAATCACAGAGGGAGGAGTACATTTGATAGCAGGAGTAAGACAAAAGTGCCTATAAGAAAATCTACGTGCAACAGACACAGCAGAAAAGCAATAGATCAACTTGTCAAGGTGGAGTTACATAGATGGGTTCTCAAAACCTTTTTTGTGACAGTCTATTAGCATATCATTAAAAAAATTATGACATACCAACTATATTGATTACTCTCTTTAGACAACACAGTCTTGATGGATTTGCAACGCTGATAATGGTTCCATAGTTACTGGTTTCTTGTTGCAGCTTTGATGATAATTTCATACCAAATTAGTACAAAAATCCAATAATTATCAGAGTTGAAAGACCATATGAGTATGGGTCAAGTTACATACTTGCTCTGTTTTCTCTTCTAATATTGAATAACTGTCTTCCTATAGCAAAGAGGTTATTTTATCTCTACAAAAAGTCAGTTAGCAACCATATCATGCATTTTGTTCACTTAAGGGAAAAAAATGAAAAAGCCTTACTCTTTGTATCCAGCTGAGCACGATACTTTTCAAATCCCTTGAGCCGAACTCGTTCTCCCAAGAGCTGAAGAAACTCTTCAAAGGCTGGACCTGCTGATTCATTATTATACATTTCCTCTTCCGTGCTTTGTCCAGCTTTGCAGTACATGATACCCACCTTAAGTTGGTAACTTAACTGCAAAAGGAAAAAGATGAACATCTTACATGTATATCAAATGATGCAGCAACTTATTTATTGAATTAACTTCAGATTCTTATTAAACCCATCATTTATAAAGAAAAAAAAACCTAATTGTGTCTAATTTCAAATGTTAGTCTAGTTCCAAATAGTCTCATTGTTCTGCACCATAATTGCCTTGATGATGGCATATTTCATCTGACGATCTCAAAATGCTTTCCAAAGGGAAACAAATGTTAACATTCTTTTTTTTCAGGAGAACAACACTGCAACATGCAAATGGTGAATATCTCACATCGAGCCACGTGGCAAATATTGGCTGAGAAATGTCAGGGACTCGACTCTCACTCTTAGGCTGGTACCATGGTTACTATCCTACACCAAACCTTCCATGCAGAAGGGTAGGGCACAGGATGTGCTCATTTCTATAGTAAGTGACAAAATTAACCTTCCCTCACTGCAAAAAGAAGATGAAAATTATTCACCTATCAGTGCATTCACAGAATCACAGAATGGTTAGGGTTGGAAGGGACCTCTGGAGATCATCTAGTCCAACCCCCCTGCCAGAGCAGGGTCACCTACAACAGGTTGCACAGGACAGCGTCCAGGCGGGTTCATCTGTTAGCAATGTTGAAAGAGTCCATGGCATTCAGTTAGCCTTCTCCAACTTAAAAATGCAGTAACAAAGAAAACAGCTAAATTGAGAAATGCTGGGAATACTTTAAAGGTACTATTTACTAGCATAGACTTTCAATCATATTTGTGCTTTTTAGTTCCATTTTTCCTCTAATTTAGTGTTTGATGCTCCTAAAACAGCAGAAACTGTAGATGCGAATAAGATAAGTTTTTACTCAACCACAGCTGTGATTCTTCAAAGCAAACTGTTGCCACCAATTCCAAATTGATGCACACACAAAAAGGACCACTTCTGTATCCTTTACGTCTGGACTACAGAAACAGAAGTTACAGAAGGGAAGAAAAGAGCACCCACTGCCATTTACTGCCAAAACCAATTTCACAGGCAGGAACGCTGACTGGCAAAGCGCAAAGGAGAAGGCGAGCCTAGGAGTTCACGCATGTAATTCATCTAGTAAAAATGCATACTTATTGCAGGGTAAATAATCTTTCCTCCCACACATGAATTTCTGCAGAGACTCCATTTTAAATAAATACCAAGCAGATCTGCTAGAGCAAGATCACAAGAAAGTCTATTGAAACTGGCATGAGATTTACAAGTTTGGGCTACAGGTTAGTGGGAAGTGAACAGAGTTATCTGCAAGGGCACTGGAAGCAAAGTCATCTGAATATACTGTGACTTGCTCTCAAAGCTTCCGTAACAGGTTGTGACACAAGAAGTTTTTGGAACTTGCTGGGATGATGTGGGCACATATAATTAAACTGAAATCCATTAATCCATTGTGGCCAGCAGGTCAAAGGAGGTGATCCCGCCCCTCTACTCCACTCTCGTGAGACCCCCACCTGGAGTACTGCATCCAGCTCTGGAGTCCCCAGCATAAGAAGGACATGGACCGGCTGGAGCGTGTCCAGAGGAGAGCCACAAGGATGATCCGAGGGCTGGAGCACCTCTCCTCAGAGAGTTGGGGCTGTTCAGCCTGGAGAAGAGAAGGCTCCGGAGAGATCTTATTGCGGCCTTCCAGTACCTCAAGGGGGCCTACAGGAGAGCTGGGGAAGGACTTTTTACTAGGGCATGTAGTGACAGGACGAGGGGGAATGGCTATAAACTGGAAGAGGGCAGGATTAGATTAAACATTAGGGAGAAATTTTTCACTTTGAGGGTGGTGAGGCACTGGAACAGGTTGCCCAGAGAAGTTGTTGAGGCTCCATCCCTGGAGGTGTTCAAGGCCAGGCTGGATGTGGCCTTGGGCAACCTGGTCTAGTGGGAGGTGTCTCTGTCTGCAGGGGGGTTGGAACTCGATGCTCTTCAAGGTCCTTTCCAACCTAAACCATTCTATGATTCTATGATTAATTTTAACTTATTATGTTTATGGTGGGATAATTTAAAAGCCCTCAGAAGTGGTCCTACTCTGTATCTTATTAAAGTAAATTTTAAAATTAAAAAACTCTGAAAATTGCAACTTCACTGTATTTTTCTTCTACTACCAAGGATGAATGGTGACAAGTATAAAGTATTAGCAGTAAGAAAATAAGGGGGGGAGAAAGGTAAAGATCAACCTGGCTTGATTACTGAAGCTGAAGAAGTTAAGCATACGCAGTGAGTCACAGTTCTAGGCTGTTTCTTTTTTCCCCTCCAGAATGTCCCTTATTTTATCGTCTGACACAACAACCACCTGACTTGCACCTTTTAAATATGTCCAAATTTCTTATGATAAAATATGAGTACAGCATAGAATCATAATGGTTTGAGTTGGAAGGGACCTTAAAGATCATCTAGCTCCAACCCCCCTGCAATGGGCAGGGACATCTCCCACTAGACCAGGCCACTCAAAGCCCCATCCAACCTGGCCTTGAACACCTCCGGGGATAGAGCCTCCACAACTTCACCAGGCAACCTGTTCCAGTGCCTCACCACCCTCACAGTAAAAAATTTCTTCCTAATATCTAATCTAAATCTACCATCTTCCAGTTTAAAACCATTACCCCTCATCCTATCACTATACTCCCTGATAAAGAGTCCTTCCCCATCCTTCCTCTAGGCCCCCATTAATTACTGGAAGGCTGGTATAACGTCTCCCTGGAGCCTTCTCTTCTCCAGGCTGAACAACCCCAACTCTCTCAGCCTGTCCTCATCTCAATCTATTTCTTATGAAAGAAACATTCACAGGCCAACTTCCAAAATTGCAACTGAAAGGAATAGTAATAATTTAAACAAATTATCAATCTTGTGCCTTGAAGTAATGTTTTATCTCCTTTTCTCATTGTTAACTATTTGAAATGCTTTCTGTGTAACTATAAAGGAAATACGCTCTTTCAGCACTAGAAACCCAACCAAACCCATTCACCTTTTAAGAATGAAGACTGCATATTTTGGGCACCAATGTACTAAGACTTGAAGCAAAGATTTTTATTGGTAAAACAAATACCAAGCACATGCAAATTAATATTACAATTTATTATGATGATTATTTATTTCAACTGCCCATTCACTAAAAAAGTACAAAAATTCAAAACAACCACCAGTGTACACAATGCTCAAAATAATCCAGGTACAGATGGACAGCACACGCTTTTTTTTTTTTTTTTTTAAACATTCTCATGATGACTGTTTGGTTAATCTTTAAATTTTCTCAGGAATCACAGGAGCTAGACGAGATTTGCAGGTGCATTCCTATGATCTCTGCTTAGCTAGCAAACTACACGACCCCACTCACTGCAAGCTTATTGCCTCACAGCAGCCAAACAGGGCTACGTGGTCTCACAGAGAACCTGGACCAGCTACTGCTGACATGTGGGAAGGGAGGAGAGAGGAGGGGAGAGAGCAAGGGTGGTGAGAGGTGACACTGCTGCTGCTCCTGACAGAACAACTGCCATCACATCCATAACATCCATGTCTTGGACCATTCAGGTAACGTTTACTGCTCAGATATGCTCTCTGTCCACTCCCAGGGAAATACAATGGATGGAAGTGTTTCAGGGGACCACAATGCCTTAGCTGCACTGCTAATTAAAATAGTTTCTAGTATCATAAATCATAGAATTGTCTAGGTTGGAAGGGACGTTTAAGATCATCAAGTCCAACTATCAACCTAACACTGCCAACATCACCACTAAACCATGTCCTTAAGTGCCACATCTACCTGTCTTTTAAATACCTCCAGGGATAGTGACTCAACCACCTCCCTGGGCAGCCTGTTCCAATGCTTGACAACCCTTTCAGTGAAGAAATTTTTCCTAATATCCATCCTAAACCTCCCCTGGTGCAACTTGAAGCCACTTCCTCTTGTCCTATCGCTTGTTACGATCGAGAAGAGGTCAGCCCCCACCTCTCTACAACCTCCTTTCAGGTAGTTGCAGAGAGCGATAAGGTTTCCCCTCAGCCTCCTCTTCTCCAGGCTAGACAACCCCAGCTCCCTCAGCTGCTCCTCCTAAGACTTGTTCTCCAGACCCCTCACCAGCTTCGTGCCCTTCTCTGGACGCGCTCCAGTACCTCCATGTCTTTCTTGTAGTGAGGGGCCCAAAACTGAACACAGTATTTGAGGCGCTTACTTTTGGACAAAGAAAACCATTCTTACCAAGCACACCTACACTATTTAAGCTTCAGTTTCGGGTGAAGGAAGTATTTTTAAGGGCATAAACATAAATGGGATCTGCAGCATCCACGAGCAACCTAACAAATGTCCTTTATTGCTTTGAAAATGTCAGCCTAAGAAACTAAATAAGGACTATGCAAAGAGCAAGATATGCCTTCTAGCTCTGTTCTTTGATTTGCTGAACTTAAAAAAAAAAATGCATAAGGACAATGCAAGTTGGTATTTCTGAATCAAAAAGTGGATCTGGGGGAAGAAAGGCATGCAGTCCCCACTACTAAACCTCCTTCTGATAAATCTAGGATCCTCAGAATTGTATTAACTCCAAGTAAAAGCTAAAAAAGGAGCTGAAGGATGAATTCTGCTGTGGTAAAACTCCTAAAGTAGCAGCTTCATTTTAATAATCTTAAAGTATTTACATATTTATATATATGGGAAAAGTGCACTCCAAGTATTTGTCTAGCACCCCCTGAAAGACAGCAGAAAGCACATCTTGGACTTAACCAGTCAGCAAGTTCCTATTATAAATATGGAATTATATTAAAAACTTACTGACATTTCACAGTATTTCTGTGAATGAGGAATTGCCATAAAGATAAACTTCTACTGGAATAAATCAGTAATTGCCCTGATATTCAAATTTTTAAATCATATTTGGAAGTAAACCTAAAGTAAGTTACCGTGAACTCCGCATTCAAGGCAAAGATTAGTTGATGGTAATTAGCCAGAAAGCTAGCGCAGCCCTATGGAACTATTGGATTGCTTTTTAACACAAAACCATTCAAATGAATGCATTTTAATAAAGCCAATAAAAGAACAGCTAGGTGACAAGCAATGTGGGCCGTATGTATAGAACAGCAGATGTTACCATGACTCTAGCAATCTACGGGGAAGTAAGGAACGTGCAACTTGACATACACCGCCAGTAGTAAATTGGGGCGAGAATCACATTCCCATTCTGACACTGGATGTCACGCCGATATTGAAAGAGTAAAAGAGACTGAGCTCAGCCATAACAGTGATATGAAATTCCGAGAAAATATGTTGCAGTGAAAGACTTGAAAAGTGCAATCTGTTTAGTTTATCATAAACAAGACCAACAGATGATTTAATTGCTGCATACAAAAACCTTTGCTGGAAAAAAATCTCACACCATAATGACTCTTAAGATGTAGCAGAGAAAGATACCACAAGTCTGGAAGTCAAAAGCAGATAAATTCAAATAAAGAATTGCAAATTCTTAAATATGAAAACAACCAACTGCTTTAAGACCTCACTCAAAATATATAAAAAGACAGCCTATCTTAATCAAAACTGGTGCATGTGAATTTGGCTCAATGAAGGGGTTACTGGGTGAAATTTAATGGCTAAGTCAGGCTGAGGTCACTTTATAGTCTTAACTCTTAAATTTACAGAACATCTTACTTGCTAGATCAAATGGGCACCTGTTCCTGCTGTAATGAAACAGTGTGACACTCAGCAAGAAGTGATAAACATTCTGTGTACCTAATTAGTAGAGCAGCTGTTACCCAAATTCTTCTGTTAGCTTGGAATTGATAAAAAAATGCAGCTTCTAATTAGTACAGAGTGTGCTTATCTTTTTCTGTTAGAAGTGTCAAACTGTTTCATTACCACAAAAACAAAAGTACTTTGATGTAGATAATACAATTTTAACTATCACTTGTCCTTAATGATTTTCAAAAGTTTACGTAGTAACAGAAAAATCATACTATACATTATACCTTGGGAGCTTAGTTACATGTCAGATATGAAATCATCATCATTTAATCTCATACTTTTTTGACAACCGACTTCTGAAGCAAATGATGCTAAATTACTTTTCAAATTAAGTATTTACTGGAAATAATTTTGGAATTTTTTTTTTAACTAGAACTTTCTGCTAGCTTTTTTTTTTCCTTTGTGAAAACTTTCCCATCAACACTACAGAAATTGCAGGTTCCTGATGGGCATATCTGGAAGGTACTGATCCTTGAATCCAAAGGCTCACTTACAGAGCTATGTTGAATTAAATTCCATTTTCTCCACTGCTGAAAGAGAAAGCTTTGGAAAGAGATTGAAAGGTTTCCTTGAGTCTTCAAGTACCTGACAAACTTCATTCTGGATGAAGGGCAGATTAGGTTTAGGCTCAGGTAACAAATCATAAACACTGAATATGTGCTTATTTGGAATCACTGCTCTAAGGAAGACACTCAGGCCTCCAACTGATTAGGATCTCATCATATGAAAGAACAGTTAAACTGCGCAGCGTAAGCATCTAAAAATTCCATCCTTCTTTTAGCAGGCTATATGGTAAACCCATCTATCCTCAACTTTACGTGTCTGCTGGCTCATCACAGTATTGTTTTCTACAGGAGCCAATAAGCCCATGCAGGAGATACAGCTGATACAGAGTATACTTGCATTTCCAAGAGACATCTAACAAAGCTTTTTCTTCAGAAAGCCTTAAAACTCCTGAATAGCCAGGGTACAGAAAAGGACCTCACTTAGACATGTGACTTGCTAAAAGACAAAAAGGAGCTGAAGAAAATGATCAGTAGAGTAAGGCAGGGATCTGAACTTGGATATACAGTATTCAACACAGACTTTAGCAATCTGATAGAGGTGATGAATAGCAAGGTAACTAAGTTACCTTAATCCAGTACTGGATTTGAAGATTGGCTATGAGAGCAAGCAAAGGAACTTATGATAGTGGATAACTGGGCAGATGAACCTCAGTGCAAGTAAAGCTTGAAGTGATCTATGTGGTACAAAGATATCCAACTTCTTATCTACAGCAATGAGCTCTGACTTATACCTCTAAGGAACAGGATCTTAGGCGTTCATGAAAAGATACTTTCAGTGTTCAGTAGCAGCCGTAAAGCAAATAAAAACATCAGTAATCATTAAAGAGAGAAGAGATAAGAAAGCAAAGATAAGAAAGAAAGATAAGAAAACTAAAATTTTTCCCCATTTTCAAAACCGTACTGTTTTAAAATAGATGTGGGAGAGGAGGAAAGGAACTGGAAAAACTCCAGACAAAGGCAAAAGCATGACCAGAAGTACAGAACAACTTCTACATGAAAACTAACTAAACTAGTACTCACCAAACTGGTAAAGCAGAGGGGTAGGACAGAGATCCCTATAAAAGCCTACAAGCTATCAGGAGCCAGGAAAGTATCACTCCATGCTCATCCTGTTCTCATATTCTTAGCCAGGCACCCACTGTTGGCCACGGTCAGTGACAATACTGGGCTGCACCTACCTTGGGCTGACCACATATAACCAATCCTGTGTCAGCCTGGATGCTCTGCGATAGCCACAGCTATTTCTTCATCCTCTTGTATCATGTTCTTAGTGAAAGAGATGAGGTTCTGGAACTAACTAGAGGACAAAGTGCTTTGCTCAAGCTTTGCTTCTGGTGGGTATTTATTTGGGGATTTTCTATCTTCTCCATTTTAATAACCAAATCACAAGGAGGCTGACAAGATCTTCATCATAGTGACTTATAAACCTGTTTAGAGTAGCTATATTCTCTCCCTTGTGGGGCAGATGATGATTAGACCTTTTCCAATTTTATAATCACAATGTTAGATTGACAGCAAGAAGAAATAATAACATAGATGTTAATTCTGTGCAGGAAAGGCTGCTGATGAGACGCAAAAAGGACCAGGAGAAAGAGAGTGTCAGTACTCAGAGCCGTTAAATGTCACTGTCGAAGTTTTTAATCATAAAATTCACTTTACTCATGGACTTTCACTTTGCTAAGTCTAAGCTATATAGCTAATGAGCCTCAGTTCCATCTTTAAGAGACCAGGGAAATATCACCTAATTGAAAACCACTTGTATGAAGAAGTGTAAAATATTTTACCATGTAGTTTGGTTTCAGGGGAATAAAAAAAGAAGAAAAAAAAAAAGACGGGCAGTACCCTGGCAATGGTTGTGCCACTACAATACTACAACAAAACATTTAGTAACATGGGAGATTTCTGTTCTTACTATAATAGCAATAAGAAAACCAGAACAGAACTCACTCCTTCCCCACTGTCTTTGAAAAAAATCATTTCGTCTCTTAAAGTAAATTAAAATGGACAATTGCCATAACACTAATCTAAAACTTCAGACTACTAAGACCAATGAACTTGATTTCATACATACCAAATATTCTGCAAAACTTGGGGGAAAGGCATGCAACATAACTCTCCCTACAGATGACAAGCTTTAGTTTAAATGAGGCATTTTAATAGACTTCCTCTAATCATGTAAAGCTAAAAGGCGATTTTGCAGTTCACTGCAGTAATCTGACGGTTTAAGACAGCTTGTCTCATTTTGTAACTCTGCACTTACCCCTTGTTCATCCAGCTTCATAAGCTGTTCTGTGACTTTTGGAGTGTTGAAGGCCAGCCTTAGGCAATGGATATTCAGCTCAGGAACCACATACTCCAGCACTTCTTTTAGGGGAAGTCCCCTGGCTGTGCAATGCTTTGCAGTTGAAGGGATAGCATCTTCCAGCACAGAGCCTCTTAATGTCATAAGCTAAACATACAAAACAAAAATAGCTTATATATTGAATTATGCACTGAGAAAGGGTTGCTTAGCAATAGCAGTGGAGCAAAACATACTATTTTCCAACTCTCAATAGAGATTGAGGACATTAAGTAACTTATGTTGCATGAAACACACTGATATGCAAAATGTCACTCACTCCGATAGCTAACATTAGTCAGAATATTTCAAACAATTCAACAGATTTAAGTTTTACAGGAAACTAATACTTGGAAAAGATTAGTTGCAGCATTTCTAGCAGAGCAACTATAGCTCCAGTAAGTTTTTCAGGCTTTAACCAAAACAACCTTCACGGTTTTCTCTGTATTGGATGTTATGGAATAACTCACTCACTGATAGGCTTACTTGTATTCTGTGTAACATAAACATGCGGCATAACTTCATCAGGAGATGCCTGGATTATACGTGTGTAAAGGAGACAGAAATCTATTATCAATGCTGAAAAGCACACAAACCCCACGCACACCACCTGGTTTTGCCTGCTCACTTCCAGCTTCTTTTACTATGGTTCCTGAACTGTTTACCTCACTAGTTCTGAATATGATCCGGTAGTTATACTGCGGTCCATTTTCTTTGATTTCATCTGGCTTCTCTCTTCTTATGCTCACAGCTACTGGACCCAGGTTCTCATCTGCCCCAAAATAGTTCCAGTGTTCTTGCGTACCAGGAAAAAAAAAAAAAACAAACACACAAATAAAAGTCCATCTTACTTCTTACACTTCAACTATATTTTCATGCTTAGCTGTTATATTGGAAATAAATTGCCAGCACCACTAGAGTCAATAACAGCATGTCTTCCCTGGTACCAGGATTTCATTCTCGTGCTCCAGTGCTCTAATGAGCTCCGTTTATACAGGAAGGCTGAAATTCAACATTGCATCCTGCTTAAACAGGCCTAAACCAGGATACACCTCTTACATTGGCTCTTATATCAAAATCTGTTTCATTCACATTGAGTACAATGAATTTTCCCCCTTAAAAAACAAAAACAAGGAAGCCAAATGCACCAAAGTAGGAAACTCAACACTATGTTAAAATGGGAACAGCAAACAATTGTACATAAAGAACGTAACTTACTTATTTTTGTATGGAAAAAGCAAAAAGCAGTCAAACAAGTTACTCAATTATAAAAGGGGGAAAACTGACGAAGCTGAAAAATAAGTTAGAGACTTGTTCATCGTAAAAATAATCAAAGCACAGTACCATAGAAAAATAGAATAAAGCCCAAAAAACAAAGCATAAATATTTACCAGTGAAGTGTCAAACAACCATAGAGTAAATTTAAAGTGCTAAGAGTTGAGTCTAAAACTAGCCTAGTTGGGAAGGTGGCAGAGAACAGAATACACAGCTGGAGAAACTGCTCACTAGCTGAACAGTAGATTATTTGAGATACATTTTTATATTTGTTTAACTATACACATGTAAAGCCAAGCTTTAAATTAAAAAACATTAGAAAAGCACATTTATAGAAATTAAAACTTAACAATTCTAAGAGATTGGTGTTGAAGGCTCTTATGTTGGGCCTTCTGAGCGTTATGAACTATCTTGACTGATGGCAGAGGGACATCACCATGAATGCAGCAACATATAAACAAAGTTAGAATCATAGAATTGTTTAGGTTGGAAAAGATCCTTAAGATCATCGACTCCAACTATTAAGCTAACACTGCCAAAACCACCACTAAACCATGTTCCCCTAAGTGCCACATCTACCTGTCTTTTAAGAACCTTCAGGGATGGTGACTCAACCACCTCCCTGGGCAGCCTGTTTCAATGCTTGACAACCCTTTCAGTGAGGAATTTTTTCGTAACAACCAATCTAAACCTCCCCTGCTGCAACTTGAGGCCATTTTCTCTTCTCCTATCCCTTGTTACTTGGGAGAAGAGACCGACCCCGACCTCGTTACAACTTCCTTTCAGGTAGGTGGAGAGAGTGATAAGGTCTCCCCTCAGCCTCCTTTTCTCCGGGCTAAACAACCCCAGTTCCCTCAGCTGCTCCTCATAGGACTTTTTCTCTAGACCCTTCACCAGCTTCGTTCCCCTTCTCCGGACATGCTCCAGTACCTTAATGTCCCTCCTATAGTGAGAGGCCCAAAACTGAACACAGTATTCGAGCTGGAGACTCACCAGTGCCAAGTATAGAGGTACAATTACTTCCCTAGTCCTTCCCTGGCTGTACTATTTCTAATACAGGCCAGGACGCTGTTGCCCACCTGGGCACACTGCTGGCTCATATTCAGCCAGCTGTCGACCAACACCCCCACGTCCTTTTCTGCTGGGCAGCTTTCCATCCACTCTTCCCCGAGCCTGTAGCGCTGCACGGGGTTGTTGTGACCCAAGTGCAGCACGTGGCACTTGCCCTTGTTGAACCTCATACCATGGGCCCCACCCCATCGATCCAGCCAGTTGAGACCTCTCTGTAGAGCCTTCCTAGCCTCAAGCAGATCAAGACCCCTGCCCAACTTGGTGTCATTTGCAAACTTACTAAGAATGCACTCAATCCCCTTGTCCAGGTCGTTGATAAAGACATTAAAGAGAACTGACCCCAATACTGAGCCCTAGGGAACACCACTTGTGACTGGCCGCCAACTGGATTCACCACCACTCTCTGGGCACAGCCATCCAGCCAGGTTTTTTTTACCCAGCAAAGATCACACCTGTCCAAGCCATGAGTAGCCAGTTTCTCCAGGAGAATGCTGTGGGAAATGGTGTCAAAGGCTTTACTAAAGTCTAGGTAGACAACATCCACTGCGTTTCCCTCACCCACTAAGCAGGTCATCTTGTCATAGATGGAGATCAGGTTAGTCAAGCAGGACCTGCCTTTCATAAAACCATGCTGACTGGGCCTGATCATCTGGTCGTCCTCTACGTGCCTTGTGATGGCACTCATGATCTGCTCCATAACCTCCCCCAGCACTGAGGTCAATCTGACAGGTCTGTAATTCCCCAATCCTCCTTCCTGCCCTTCTTGTAGATGGGCATCACATAACTTCCAGTCAACTGGGACCTCCTTGGTTAGCCAGGACTGCTGATAAATAATGGAAAGTGGCTTGGTAAGCAGTTCTGCCAGCTCCCTCAGTACCCCAGGGGGATCCCATCTGACCCCATAGACTTGTGTGTGTAGCAGGTCACTAACCATTTCCCCTCGGATTATGGGGGCTTCATCCTGCACCCTGTCCCTGTCTCCCAGCTCAGGAAGCAACCAACCCAGAGAACAACCGGTCTTACTATTAAAGACTGAGGCAAAGAAGGCATTATGTACCTCAGCCTTTTCCTCATCCTTGGTCACTATGTTTCCCCCCATATCCAATAAAGGATGGAGAATCTCCTTAGCGCTCCTGTCGTTGCTAATGTATATGTTGCACATATCTCAAGTGACAACAACTGAAGTTAAACATACCATACCTGAAAAGAAAATTTATGAGAAACTGTTGAAAAATAGAAATCAAGCATTGTACAAGAAAACTAAGTCCTATGTCATCACTTTCCATATGCTGCCTATCTGCATATATGAATGAATTTATACATGCACAAAAATAGAAAGTTAGAGCTATCTGAAAATTCAACAATTCAAAGAAAAAAATGTGAAATTCAGTGGAAAGAAAGAGAGATGTAACTGGCCTGAAAGGAAATGTAACCATACCGCCTGAACTACTATATACTGATTACTTGTTATTCTTAAAACAACCAGAACTTTAAAACAAGAACTTTAAGAGCGGTCTAATACGAGCTATAGAGATAAAATGTAAAATATTTTATCATCATCATCAAGAACTGCATCATTAAAGATACTAAAAATAGATACTGAAATACACTCCATTCAAGTGATGTCAGTCATTTTCCCAACAAATAATCACTTGTGGTGTTAAAAATTTGAGTGCCTCATTTTTTATTCTATTTTTTTTTAAAATTATACTTACTGATTCTTGCTATATTTTCCTCCAACACACCAAATGCTTTTCAAGTAGGTGCTCTCTGCTTGTGAGCTTACTTGTGCCCTAGAATTATACCTTTGCCTTCACACAGCTGTCCACCCCTTTAAGCCCTTGGGGGCTGTATTTTATTCCCCGGTATCTGTTATTTTATTACCCTTTCCTCGATGTTTTTCATTTAAGATTTCAGAGCATGCAAGACATAAAAGAAACATGCTTGCAGCATTATAAAGCTTGCATTCTACCAAATTCCTCTGCAAGTCAGAATCAAAAGCCAATACTCTGCACAGAGGTAATGAAGATTCAAAATTCTTTTAATATCTTGTGGAATATCCTGTAAATATTGGTGTAAGTTTTGGGTGACTGAATTAGTCATGAGTCGGGAAATTAAGAATAAATTAGACCATCCACATAAGCCTAATTAAATCTTTATATTACTCCACTGATAAGACTCCTGTAAATGTCACAGAGATTTTCTGTTGTTTAAAAACCCAAACCATCTTATTAGCACCCTAACTTTTCTTCTTCCTCCGTTAAGTAACTTCCTTTTTTCAGGATGTTTATTGCTCATCAGTTTATGCAGAGATGGTCAATGCAGAAGCACAGTCATTGAGAACGTGAGACCAATTTTCTATCAGCATATTACGCAGCTTTCAAAATCTGATATAGCTTGGCCATCTCCACAGTAAACTGCTTAGTGACTTAAAAACATTGGTGTAACTTTGCTTATAGAACATTTTAAAGAAAAAAAATATATGCTGGTAATACATACTAAGAGGGTCCAAAAAGTTTTCTGTACTGACAACTGTACAGATGATAAAATTGGTGTATCTTGTAACCAGTCCAGCCTGCAATTCAGAGAATTTTCTGAGGAGAAATTATTCTGCATCTTGAAAACACATTTAGGAAGGCTGCTAAGAGGAACGGCTGAAGCTGCATGAAAATACTTATACAATCCTGTATTGTTCAAATAAGCTTTTTATCTAGCTCCTATTTATTTGGAAAAATGCACAAGGTGTGGAATTTTACACTTCTCTGTTAATAGGAAATGTCTTTTATTCTCTTCTCTTCACTCTACAGTGGGCAGTTGTCTTTCTAGCTCTCCTATGCATCTCCTCAGTCCTCTCTTCTATTCCCATTGTCCTCTATTCACATTTACTATAGGGTGGTCCATTCTTTACCTTCCCCTTTATTCTCTTTCTCCTCCTCTACCCAGCCTCTGTATTCATTCTGCAAGCTACAGTATATACCCTCGTATCTGACTACTTTTCCCTGTGGTACTGTTTCTTGCACCTCTACCTGATTTTTCCACTATATCCTGAATTTCCTTTCATCCAACCATTTTCTCTTTCCTATAGCAGGAAAAGCAGTAGTAGAATTTCAGTGCACAAAGCTTAATATCCAATCTAAAGGTAGTTAATTAGGAGTTTGACTGTAAAAGCAAGGGCTACTTCACAACTAGAATTCAAGAGTTTTATGCCAAAAGTGAATAGCATAGAAGACAGCTTTTTCCTCCATCCCGCACAGAACCTCATTGAAAGCAACATTTCTCAAGCTTGACATTATTTCATTTAAACTGCTGTTGACAAATTATTTAATTAAAAGACATTCAGGAGACAACTAGCAACAGCCATAAATTAATTTATAATTAATTGCTTGTACCTGGTCATTAACCAGTTTATACATATTTAAAATAGTTAAATATTTATCATATAATTCAAAAGACACTTCCAGTGAAAGAATTTAAGTGAAAATACTCATTTTCCTGGCAGATATTTACAAGTTTCCCTTGCAAAGGAAATCCAAGTAAATGCACTTGATTTAGAGCAAGGAGGGGTTTTTTTGCGCTTTTATCATATTTACCTTTGGATATCATGTTCAATTGATGCATTATGTGTAATCAGACTAGAAGTAAAAATCGCAAACATTTTGCTTCAGAATGAAACTCCCCATCAAGCATTTTCCTCTAATCCTACTGCAGCACTTACAGCACTGGAAAACTCTGCCCAGCAGTTCTCTGGAAACAAGAGGGCAGCATTTTTAGAGCTTAGTCCTATAACGTGTTCAGACTGTTGCTCATAGCCAGACTGTTAACTGTAAATTTTCTGTAAGTCTAGCCACATACTTGAAAGGTACTGATTTGGGGATAGAATATGCAGCAATTGAAAGCATTAGAGCAAAGGGTTTTTTTACTGGCTGCCAACAGTTAAAGGAAAGCTGACCAACAGCTCATTCGTTATAAAACCAGCTCAGGAAACTATTTACTTCTCAGTCAAGTCTTTCATTCTAAGCCAGTAACTCAAATTTGTCCTAAATGGTAATGACATTAGTGACTACTGCCTGATGATGACTGAAGCTAAAGGGATGCTCTTGGTTCTTTCCATGAGAACTGTAATTCTCAGACACAACTAGGGGGACAGAGAATAGACTGCTCCTCCAGAGCAATATGCTCTCTTTTCTAAGTAGCACTTAGACAAACTGATGGAAACAAATTTTGAATTCCCTATAATTAAGGATTTCAGTCACATCACCATCAGCATCTCACCAAATTACCTTGGAGAAATTAAAATGAACTATAGCAATGCAATGGCCTTCATTCTTTTTCTTTTTTTAAGACGCAAAAGATTAACAGTGTGACTTTTTTTTTTGTGTGATGAGACCTACTTTTCATTAAATCATGCTGACTGGCATCATTAATGATTTTTAACTAGCAGTTCTTTGTCGATATAGTCCCAAATTACCTGCTTTTTTATTTCAAGTTGGAATGAAAACAAACTAAAGGATTACAATTCTATGGGTCATCACTTTTTATTCTTTACAAGCTTTAGGATTACTTCAGGAGTTCTCTGATTCTATGAAATTCTCTTGGTTTGAGATCTTTAAAAGTTATCATTGCTGAATCAGAATTTGCTTCATATTTTAAGACTATAAAATTAACCAAGGCCTGCTGACTTGACTAGCTGATCCCACTGAAACTGTTTTCATTACTGTCTATTCCATTCCTAACATCATAAAGATCCAATCTCCTCTTCAAACAAGGAAGGTTCTGCATCATTACTTGCTTCATGTTATAAAAACTTTCAGTTAGAACTGTCTTCCTTAATTTTTTTTCCTATAATGCTGCTTTAGGTTTTATCACTATCCCGTCTCTTTCAGATTAGTCTAAAGTTTGCTTGGGGAAAGACGATACACTGAGTGTTCAACAAAATGTGTTTGGTACTTGTAGAACTGTGGGGTCTGGGCATATCTGATGAGGCTTCTGAAGTACACCTCTTTTCAGACAAAAAATCTCTGGTGGGAACAACGCCCCTGGCTCTCGCTTGCTGGACTGAACACAAGCACAGTGAAGTTAAAAACCAGTTTCAGGGCTCAAGAAAAAAAAAGAAAAAAAATAAATCACTGTCCCTCCAATAATTCTGTCCCTCCAAACCCACTCCATGCACACACTGACACTTTTATATCTGGTTACCCCTCACCAATACCCCTTAGGACTCTGTTACGTTGATTTTATCTAATTCATCTTAATTACGACTAGAAAGAAAAGGAGCTATAATGGTGACCGGCACTGAAGTAGCATGAGGGTGTGATTTCCCTTAAGGACAAAGCAAACTAATAAATTGCTGTTGCTCACACCTCCTTCCTCTTCCGCTGCTCACTCTCATTGCTTACCTGACACCAGGCTTTGGCACTTCTCTGCCTGCAAGGAAAACTGATTTCACCCATTAAACTGGAGAGAAATAACCAAGCAATAAAAAGCAAATTCATTGCGATGGCAAGATTTCTGCTTGGTTAGTGAACTGAACTGGCTTATCAAGTTTTCAGAAAACAAGAGAACTGGTACAAGGAAGGGCGAGGAATAAAGTGCTGAAAAGCTGTTAAATGAGGTCAGCTGTAACATGAAACTGCACCTCTAGTTGCTGATTGCAAAACTCACCAGAGTGATAAGGAATCAAACTGTTCCAGAGGGAGACAGTTAGGAAGGTAATTGCAGGGAAAGGTGTCTAATCTCAGGCTCCCCTCTCCAAACACACCTCATCCTACATTGTGTATCTCTTACTGTTCTCAGAAAACCAGTATTTTTCCTCACTCCTTTCTCTCCAAAGGATGGGGATCAGCACTCTCAAAAACCATGCAGCAAAGCCTACCTCTAAGCCCTAGAAAGACTGCAGAAATGTGACAAGCACCACCCAACCAAGGGACAATGCAGGGAAGAAGAGGCAAGAGATGGATGTATTTCGAGACAAGGGAAAAACAGCAGATGAGATTATTATCTGTTACACACCACTAACAAGCTG